CACCCGGACCACATGCCCTTCGTGGTCGCCGACAAGCTCGGCTTCTTCCGAGAGCAGAACCTCGAGGTCGAGCTCGTCGCGCCCGCGGACCACTGGGAGGCGGAGAAGGAGATTCTGGCGGGCCGCCTCGACGTCGCCGTCACGGAGACGCTGCACCTCGCGCAGGACGCGGCCGCGGGCAAGCCCATCCTAGGGTTCGCGCGCTTCCTCCATACGGACGGCGGCGTCATGTACTTCGCGGACAGCGGCATCGAGCGGCCGCGCGACATGTGCGGCAAGACGATCACGTACCCGGGGAGCCCCGGGCCCGGCGGCCCGGCCATCGTCGACACGATGGTCAAAGCCGACGGCGGCGACTGCGGCGGCGAGCCCTACGGCAAGTTCAACGGCGGCTTCGACCACGTCGGCGCGCTCGCGGCCGGCGACGCGGACGTCGCGACGCTCGTCTTCGCCAACTTCGAGATCCCGGCGGCCGAGGCCGCGGGGAAAGACGCGCGCTACTTCGCGCTCAAGGACTGGGGCGTGCCCGACTTCTGCCAGCTCGTGCTCATGACGACGCCGGAGCGCTTCGCGGAGCTGAAGCCGGCGCTCCGGCGGCTCGTCCTCGCGCTCCGCCGCGCCGTCGGCGTCTCGCACGCGTCGCCGGGTCTGGCGATGGAGCTCTACGGCGAAGCGGACCCGGAGAGCCCGCCGGCGACGCTCCACGCGACGCTCCCCATGTTCCCCAACGACGCGTCCATGGCGCCGGCGTACTTCGACGGCTTGATGGGCTGGCTCGTCGAGACGGGCCAGGTCGCCGCGGACACCGCCGTCGACCCGGCGACGTACTGGACGAATAGCGTTGCGCTCCCCTGAGCGGGGGCGCGCCGTTCGCGAACCGGAGGCCCACCACCAAGCGCTGGTCCGCCTGAGAATTACACGGTCAACGAGCTGAACGCGATAATGCGCGCGGTAGCGATCGCGAACGCTAACCATCTTACCTGCTCGCGCCGCGGCTCGCGCCGCGGCTGCCCGCGCGGCTGCTGCCCGCGCGGCTGCCCGCGCGGCTCGACGCGCGCGCCGCGGGCTCCGGGTCCGGCGTTTGCGCCGCGCTGGGCCTGCCGACCTTGATGAAGGACGCGAGCACCGTCGCGCGCTCCGGCGGCGCGTCCTCCTCGGGCGTCGACGCCGGGATGGCCCGATCTTGCGCCGGCGGCGACAGCGCCCGCACGGTGCGCTCCGTCTCGTGGGGCGCGACGTAGCCCGGCTCCTGCGCGCGGCGCCGCTGCGCCTCGCGCTCCTGCCACTTCCGCTGCGCCTTCTCGCGGTCCTCGTGCTCCGTTTTGATGTCGTGGACGATCTGCGTGTGGCGCCCGCGCTTGACGTCGTCGACGGCGGGCGCCGCGGGGCCCGCGGGCGCCGTGGGGACGAGGAACGCGAAGCCGCCCTTGTTTTTTTTCGCGTACTCGAGCGGCCGCGACACGGCGGAGCGCTCCGTGGCGTCCGCGTCGGCGACGTCGCCGAGCGCGGCCTCCAAATCGAGCGCGACGCGCTTTTCCAAATCGCGGTGCCGCGCCCAGAGCTCGAGGAACTCGCCCTTGTCCAGGTAGCCGTCGCCGTCGGCGTCCAGGATCGCGAACGTCGAGTCCATCTCGTCGGGGCTGAACGCGGCCTTGCCATTCTTCCCGCCAAACGACACGTGCTTCGCCGCGACGCGCCGGCACTCGGCCCAGCTCACGAGCCGCGGCCGCTCCCGCGCGTAGAGCTGGAAGAGGAGCTCGAGGTGCTGCCGCCGCGTGCCGTCGACGACGACGCGGCAGAAGCTCCGGCAGTACTGGACGAAGGAGAAGGGCGCCTGGTGGACGACGTCGATGCGGTCCGCGGCGCTGTCGGGCCGCCGCCGGTCCGCGAAGGCGTCGGGGTCCATGGCGACCTGGATGTCGCACATCCACTCGTAGTGGAGCAGGAGCTGCCCGGCCATGCGCTTGTTCGCCGCGTAGTCCGCCGTGCCCGCGCACTCCTTGACGAGCCGGAAGCACTCCGTGCCCACGCGGTCCATGAGCTCCTGCTCCGCGGCCTTCTCCGCCTCGGAGACCACGACGGTCTTGCGGCCCATTGTAGCTGCGATTGGCCTACGCCGAGAGCCCCATAGCGCCGGCGTTTTAACGCGAAGTGCAACCACCCGGTGGGTGCTGCTCGATTTCGAGCTCGATTCCGCCACACTCTCGAGGTGGCTTTGGCAGCCTGCGCGCGCGCCGAGTTCGACGCGCGACGTCCGCCTGCGCGATGGGCGCCCTCGCGCGCGCGAGCAGCGATGTGGTGGTCGAGATCCTCTCCTGCCTCGACATCGAATCCGTGCTCCAAGTCGGCGGCGCGTGCGCATCGCTGCGGCGGACGACCTTGTTGGATCGCGCCTGGACGCCGCGCCTGCGCACGTGCTGGCCCGGCCGCTTCGATGTCGACGCCGGCGCGCTCGCTCAGCTCGCGACGCTCGAGGTAGACCCTCGGCGCCTCTGCCTGCAGTGCCTCCCGTGGCGCCCGCGGCGCGGAACCGGGCCGGACGGCGCGTCGACGTGGCAGAGCGCTTTCAGCTGGCGACCGCCGTGGATCATGCCTGAATCGCTCCATCAGCCGGCATCGTCGGGCGACTGGTTCTTCGTCGAAATCTACGAGAGCAACTCGACATACAATGACAGTGTCGATCGTCGATTGCCTGACCATTTACGCGTCTCCATGCCTGAAAACAGAGGAATAGATTTCCTCTATGGCCTGGTTGCGCGCAAAGTCGTCCGTCTAGAAGAGTGCGATGTGGACGGGTTCCCGAACGTTCACGTGCCGCTGAATGTCGACCTCAACAAGCATGTTGACGGGACTAATGCCTCCCCTTTATTCGAAGTCCGTGTCTTCATGCAGCTGGACGGGATCTTGGTGCCCCTCGCGGACACTTGTTGTATGGTCAAGGGTTGTGGTGTGGGTCATGGATACCATATTACGAGTCGGTGGATTAACGAAACTGAAAGATTATTTGTGGCCGTCCAGCAAGTGTACGTTGATGTCGACCGGGACGACGATACGGCCCTTACCAGTGCTGTGGATTCAATTGAGATAAGCTGGTCTTTCCACCAAAACACGGTGTCCCATGATGGCAAGTTGGGAGCGGGCAAGCAGGCTCTGCGTGACTTTCACAAACAAAATTCAGCACAAGTCATTTCAGCACTTCACGACTCTGGCTGGGGCGACAATAGTTATTCTTTCGCCTGCGACTACGAACGTGACCGTCGAAATCCGAGCCTCTTCGACTTCATGCGCAAATCCGCC